AGAGAGTGAGAGATGGAGATGGGACTGAGTTGTGATTTAGGTTTTAGGTTATGAGTTGCGATTACGGGATTTTGTCTTAATATTCTTTTGTAATTTGAAAATAAAATACGCGTAGCGATTATAATGGCGCTTTAAATATCGCGTTGCGATTTACGGATACGCGTTGCGATTTTATGTATTATCGTTGCGATTTACGGATACGCGTTGCGATATACGGATACGCATTGCGATTTACCCATACGCGTTGCGATTTACGGATACACGTTGCGATTTACGGATACGCGTTGCGATTTATGTGTTCGCGTTGCGATTTTCATATTCGCGTTGCGATTATGGAAAATCGCAATGCGAATTTGTACTATCGCATCGCGATTTTCAAGAATCGCGTTGCGATTTTGGAAACTGATTTGCGATTCTGGAAACTGATTTGCGATTCTGGGGATCGCGTTGCGATTTTTATTTCGCGTTGCGATTTTGTTGGTCATTTTGGCAAATCCAAAAAAAGTTGGTTAAAATCGTATATTATAACTTTTTTTTGGTCACTGAGGCGATTTTCTCTATTTTTTAATACTTATATTTAATACTCATGTATATAAGTATATATATATATATATATAAATTAAGTATTAAAGTATAACTATATAAAGTATATAAATTGTATAATATAAGTATAAGTATATATATATATATAAATGTCAAGGAATAATGGTCATCAGATCAAATCATATCAAAGGTCCAAATTGATTTGAGTTTGTTCACCACGATTGATGACATAACGCATAAAAAGATGAATTCATTTAATGAATTTAATTTTTGTATCATGTTGGGCTTGTAATTTGGGCTAATGGTTTTTTTAATGAATTTCATTTATTAGGTCCTAATATATGTAAATTGCCATATATGTAATATAAATATGTTTTTATTATTTTTGGACTTGAATAAAAGTAGGATATATTTATTTATAACATAAGTAATATATTTATATGGATATGGAATATGAAAATAGTATATGGTATCTACTAATATATAGTTTATATTAATGTTATCATCCAAATAAAATGGGTGATGATAAGAGAAAATTTTTTAACATAAATTTGTTTAGTTGATTTTATTGTAATTTTAGTGGATTAAAGTGTAATAAATTTTATTTATTCATTTATAAATTATTAGTTTTAGTATTTATTATGTTATTCAAATTTTCAATCTCAAATAAATTCATCTTTTATATATATAAATTTTAAGTTAAATTATATTTATATTATTAATCAATCTTTACATAAAAAAATAGACTTATAAATATCTTAATTAATTTTATATAATCTAATAAAATCATGTTCAATAACTAAATTATATAATAAAATTAATTTAAGGATTATATAATTAAAATTTATAATATAAGGATTATAATTAATATAGAAAGTAAATTTATTAATTTAGTTATCATAACTAACAATTTATTTTAAATTTCAAAAATTAATCATATTAATTTAATTATCACAAGTTTATCATAAATTTAAAATCTCATAATTGCATCAATTGTAACTTATTACTAATAAGTCAGATAAATATCAAGTCAGATAAACATTATATAAGTTCAATAACAAGTCATATCATTTACATGTTGAGTCAATTATATGTCAGGTTCATAACATGCCAGGTTGATAATAGTGTCAATAATACCAGTTATTTACCAGGTTAATCTCGGGTTCATGTTTATATCATTTGGATGCAGGTCGGGTTCAATTATCATATTATCGGTTCAATTCAGGTTCATGTCGTTCTCATATCGGGTGCAGGTCGGGTTTAGATCCATAATTTACAGATCCAACTAAGGTTCAGGTTAACGCCAATTTGAACTTGAATCAGTTTCTATTTATCTCCACTCAGGTCACAAACAGTTTTGAATCAAGTCGATTTCAGTTAGTTTTACAGGTCGGGTCAGCTTTTTACAACCCTAGCCGCTCTTTTCTTTCTCTAAGTCACTTCATTGTTTTTTTTTTTAATTTTTGGTTAGTAAGCGACTATATCGATCATGGTGTTGGTTGTCGTTGTTGATTTTTCTTTGTTATTTACTCTTTATCTCATATTTTTATTTTTTATTTATAATAATTTTGTCTTTATGATACAATTTTCTTCGTTTTCATGACACGTTTTCTCTACCTTTTGATATGTTTTTCAATTTTATTTTTCAATTGTTTGGTAGTTTATTTTTCTCAGTTTGGATTTGATATTGCAACGACTAATTAAGATTACACTCATTTTGTTATCCCTCATGATGGGCATGAGATATGAGCCTAACGGGTTCCAACCCGACCCAACCGAGTCGGGTTTAGAAAAATCAAGTTCAGGTCAGGTCGGGTATTTTAGAGGTTATGTTCGGGTGAAAAATACCCGACCTGACCCAACCCAAAAAAATATAATTCTACCTTATATATTTAAAGATAATTACAATAATACCACTCTATATATTATTTTTTTCAATTAAATCCCTATTTTTATTGAATAAATATATTATTTTGGATCAAGTCGAATTCAGATTTTATCTCAAAAGAATCGGGTTGGGTTTGGATTGGGTGGAGAGTGTATATTTTCCGGGTTGGGTTCGAGTCGAGTCAGATTGACCAAAAATTTGACCTAACCCATCCCCATTCCTAGTTATTTCGTTGATCTTCCCTATAGTGGACTCTCAAATTAGATTTGGATACACACCTTGTGTTCATAGATGGTTTTCTCACGAAGCATGGCTCTGATTTACGTTTGTTGGTGGTCTTTCAATAGTTTAATCCTCTATTGTGGTTCATTTGTCGTAGTTAGATCTATTTGTATTTACCCATTGATCGGGGGGTTTTGAATGAGTTTTCACCTTTTTATTGTATGGTTCATATATAATCTTAAGTTGCTAGTTTTTTTATGGTTATAGAATAATATTCTAATTATGTGTTTAATTTATGATTCTAATTATAAGGCTTTATTGTAATTTTAAATATTTTTTAAAATAAAATTACATGGTTTTTGTAAAAAAAATGATATTAATTTACTAAGTTAAAAAGGTAAAAAAATATATGCAAATAGTCTCATGATTATTACCTGTTTTTAAATAATTATTGTATAATTAATAAATAAATGCCTAAATTATATTTCTTGTTAATTTTAAGTGTCTAAAGTTTTTTTCCTTGATCAAGGTAAGTACATAACGTTTTCTCTGTTACAATTTAAGATGCATCAAATTGTATTAAGTTACCATTATAAGGCCATCTCGTCAATGACCGCTAACATAAATTCATTAACCAATGGTTGCTTGACACATGACATTAATTTCTAATTAATAATAAATTTTCAGAAATAAAGATACTAAATTTAAAAAATTAAAGGAAAACCCTAAATTATCTAATTTTCTCAAACTCCTCTAATCTCAAATCACCAACCCTTAAATCCTCAAATTCTCTTAAAGATCGAAAATCAGGCGGTAGTGGTGTGCAAAATAAATCAGAACGACTGATCGGATCTATTGATCCAATCTAAAAATTTAGATATAGTATATGTTTTTTAATTTTTAGGTAATTTGGATCGAATATATAAAAAAATAAATAATCAAACCGGGTACAAATTAGTTAAAATTTAATTTCAAATTATTCGAAAAGTTGATATAAAAAATAGGTCTTTCAAAGATTTTACCCAGACTCATTGATCCAAATCATCAAACCCGCCCCTAACTTGAAATTGAAACACCTAACCTTTTAGCCTTGCATTGCAGGATTTGACTATAAAAACAATGATCATTGCAAGGTTGAAACGGGTCTTCACTTTTCGATATAAAGCTTAAGCATTTGGTTTTCCAGATCTTTAGGCATAAAAAAAACTTCATCATTAATGATAATAAATACATCATTTGTACTCGTTACATTTTACACGTTGTAAATACTTGTATAGGAGGATAGTTGGTCTAGATAAGTATGGCCGAGGAGCCGTACCAGTGGAACATATTTCTTTGAGGCCATGGAGATGGTGGGACTGTTTCGAGGAGATTGATAAGCTTCGCAGTCAATATACAGAGGTGAGGTTCGAGTATGTGCCCAGAGAAGGTAATGGAATGGCGGATCAGTTGGCAAAACAAGGTATGTAGCGTCAGAATTTGTTTAAAGCGTGGTGGGAGTTCTAACCCTTCTCCTGTCTTGCCTTCGAGTAGGGGCTGGTTTAGAGCTGGTGTTGTTTGTTTGGTTTTGGTGAATTTTCTCGGTATGTCCTTTTTGTGTTGCCATTTGACCTTGTCCTGAATGTTGCATTCTATCCTTCACTTGGAGATTGGTTTTCTCGCGCTGGGGAGGGCCTGTGTTGCTATTTGCTGAATTTTTCTTTAATGCAGTTATGTCTAGAAATTTAATGCACATTAAAGAAAAACTTCCTGTTTCTCCCACTTCACAATTACAGAATCCCAAGATCAAAAAGGAAAGATACAACTACAAATTTAGTACTCCAATTATAACTTTTATTCTATTTTGGTCACCTAACTATTTTTCAACATAGTTTTCATCGTAAAGAAACTCGAATTAAAAAATATTTTTATTTAAACTCGATTAAAAACCAGTTTAAGATGTGTATGTCATTGACGAAGTGATAAAGTTATTGTTCTAATGATAAAAATTAGGCCAAGAGCCAGAAGTTGTTGAGCCACCTAGTGCTGATAAGGTAGCCACCGACGCCATTGCTCTGCTTCCTAACCCCTATGGTTAAGCAATTTCGATCTATATTTTTTATACATTGCTCGACAAACTCTTCATTGTCGCTTTTCCCACACAGACTGCAAAATCAGCCATGAACAAGGATCAGAAAGAAGGTGAGAGTGAAGTAAATAATGGAGAAATCATGTGTAGTTGAAGAAGAAAGAGTTTAGGGAGGTTTTTAACCGGACATGCAATTTAAGTTTTGGGATTGTATATATAAATCTTTAAAAAAATCATATTGCCAAGAGAGAAAAAAAAGGGTTAAAGGAAGGATCATGATCACCGGGTTAAGAATGGAGATTGCCTTTTTTGACCAAGTACCAACACTGATACCCCTAGCTTCTTCACTTGGCTCATCACTGTCGACAGCTTTGGGCCTTGGATTGCCACTGTTTCCACTTCTACCTGGAATTCATTTGTTGCCCATGTAAACCAAGTGACATCATCATAATGGTCAAATTATAAACAAGGTCCTTGCACTATGTATTCATTTTGATCAATAATTTGACGGGTAAAATACACAAATGGCCCCATGACTATAAGGCATTGCTTTATAGAGTCCCCAAACTATTAAAAAATACAAAATGATCCCTTAACTATAGGGTGTTTCTTTGTTGAGTCCTTCAACTATAAAAAGTTACAAAATGGTCACATAACTATTCATTGTGTTCCAAACTCGTCCTTTTCCATTAAAAAACAACAATCTTCTAAGCTACGCGCTAGCATGCTGACTGAGATATGATAGTCATTTGAGATTATGAGATCATATTTATCATATCTCATTCAAAAGTTTAACGTCCAGCTCAGACTGTCGTTAATTTTTAACGAAAAATGACGAGTTTAAGACATATGAATAGTAAGATGAGCACTTTGTAACTTTTAATAATTGAGAGACTCAACAAAGCAACATCTTATAGCTAGAGGAACATTTTGTAACTTTTGATAGTCGGGGAACTCAACAAAGTAACACCATATAGTCAGGGGGCTATTTGTGTATTTTACCCTATTTTGACTTGACTTTTCTTTATTAACACGTGGTTATATGATACTAGGTCCGTACAATAAAATCGATTAATCTAAAATTGATTCGTGATGTTCAAACATTTTATGGCTTATAAATTTAAAAATCGTGTTAACTTAAATTGAACAAAAATTTATTTATTTTATTTATATTTATTTTACAATATAAATAAGTATTTTGTATTTAAAAACAATAAAGATAACTTCAAAAATACTATATATGAATTATTAATATTTTTATTAACTTAAAAAATAACTTTTAAGGAAATATTTATGAAGAAACTTAAAAGCTTTATAAAATAATATTTAAAATCAATAAGATAAAGTTATATTATAATAATAAAATATAAATTCTCAACGCTAAAAGTGAATATTAGAAAAATCGATAAATAAAATTAATCGAACCAAAAATCAAATGATGATTTAAAAGAAATTTAAAAACCAAATCCAACCATACGCTCTATCTGGGACATAAAATTCACATTTCAATAAATAAATAAAAATCAAATTGATTATATTGTAGAGAGATTAAATATGCAAAAGAAAAATACATAGCATTTATTCATGGACGGAACTATAAGAGATGGGACGGACCCCGCCCTCAAATTTATGGAGTAAACACATTTCAGGTCTATGGCAATTTCAAAAGTGAACAAATTGAGCCTTGACCCTAAATTCTTTTTAAAAAATAAATATCTTTTAGGTCCTTGTTTTAAAGTAGACATATTAAACTTTTACTCATTCTTATATTTTGTAAATTCTATCCATATTTATATTTAATTCCTCAATATTTTATCTTGATCCCGCATTTATATAGAATCTAAGATAAACTATACTTTAGTACCTAAACTATTACTTTTGTTTCATTTTGATATCTAATTTTTATTTTCAAAATCATTTCTAACAATTAATTTAGGTTTCATTTTGGTATCCATTGTTAAAAACTTAACGATGATGTTGACGTGTTACTATAAGATAATGACACGTCATCATTGAAAAAATGTCATGTCATCAGTTTTGTTAAATTTTTAATGATGGGTGCCAAAAAGAAACCTAAACTAAATGTTAGGTATAATTTTAAAAAATCATAAAGTTTAGGTACCAAAATAGAACAAATACTAAGCTTGTAATTTATCATAGAAATAAAAATGGATTTTTTATGGATGTTTTAGAAATACTTAGAAATATAGAAATGCTTAATTAGTAAAAGAGGATACTCTAAGAATCTTCTTGGATTTGTTCTCTTCCCTTCAAAGAACATAAATTAAAGCAAAAGCGGAAAAAAAACCCTAAGAAAAACTTAGAACAGTTCCACATTACCTGAGGTTTACAAGCCTTGCAAAGTGATTCAAGAGAGGTAGCAAGAAAAGAAGAAGACTGTGAACACGTTGGGATTGGGGAGATAACATGGAGTAGAGTAATCAAATCACCCTTGTTAACAACATGAGTAAGTGCCCACATCATTGCATGCTTAGAATGTGAACTTTGGTCCACCACAACCATCACCCTCTTCCTTAGAACCAACCCATCATCATCGCCATTGCCATACATGTTAACACCACCTTGTTCCATTCTCCGAGTTCGTAAGGTCGTCTCAGAAAACCCAACACATTTTTTCCCACCAACAACGTTTTTGTCATTGTTGCTGTTCATTCCCCACCTACAGGATTTGGATTTCCAGCCTTGTTTTCCACTTAGCTGCCTCAAAAACGAAGCTGAAGTTGCCATCTTTTTTGTTACTTGGAACACCTAAAATTGGGTGGCGAGAACGAAGATGGAAACTAATGGGTGCAAATAGCAGCTCGGTTACTAAGTTGTGGGTGAAGTTGGGGGTTTCGGTTGGGGGGTTGTGGGGGGGGGAGTTGGGGGCTTTTAATATTCAGAGAAGACTGTTAATGGCGAAATAACTATAATTAATGACTATTATTTATGAAATATGAAAAATAAAATAATGAACAAATGTGTCTCATGAATGGTGAGCAAGAAAAATGAGGGTACCTGTTTAAATGAATTGTCCGTACATAATCTTATTTTCATGTAATATTATTACTTTTTGAAATAGAAATAATTAATTTTATTGAAAAAGGAAATAATCAAAATTATATTCAATGCTTATAACTATAATTGTAAATTAGATATATAATTAAGAAATTCTCTTATAAACTAACCTAATAAAGAAATTCTCTTGTAAACTAGTTATTTGAGATAATACAAGAACCATAGAGAATATCAAATTATTCAAAGACCACCGACAAAACATAAATGAGAGTCATGCATTGTGAGAAAACTATAAACGTATCCAAATCCAATTTGATGGTCCAAAGCATAGAAGATCAACAATATAACAAATAAGTGTCATCTTGATCAATCGCGGTAATGTCAAATCCAACTTTGAGAAAAATTAAACCAAAAGGATGACCAAACGATCGATAAAGAAAATCAAAACCGTATCAAAAGGTTGATGAAAGCATGTCATAGAGGTAGAGTTATCAGAAACAAAGGAAAAACCAAGATGCAATGTACAAAAATAAAAGAAAAATAAAAAATATCGACATCATGTAAGATTGATTTTAAGAATAAAATTGTCGAAGAATAAACAATGACCTAACTAATAATAATTGAAAAATAAATTGTTGTTGAAAATATTAGGTTCATATTTGAATATATTTAAAAATGCTAGACCTTTATTCAAATATGGAAAGGTTAGGCATTTATTTGAGCAAATCCACCGTTTTTAAAAGTACGAGTCTCTATATGAACAACCTTTAAAAGAATAGTCCTTATTTAAACATTAGCCAATTTAACTCATTATAAACTAAATTAGGAAAAGAAAAGTCAAAGACAGGTAACTCATAAACATCATCAATTTAACAATTTGAATACGAGTACTGTAAGTAGTTTGGTTAGGTTAATGATCACTTGTAGATATTAATTTGGTTTGATTAATGTTGGTCTGTAGATATTAATTGAACTCCACTATAGTATTATTATTTTTATTTTATAAATAATACCCATTAACATTAATAGATATTAATATTAGATTAGATATTTATTAAGTTAGAAGATATCAATAAATATTAGTTACCATTATTTAATTATCCTTCTAAAAACTATTTATATTATGTATCTAATTTTAATTGAATTAAAAAATGTCGACAAATACATTTTACACCGATTGAAATTTTCTATATATACACTATTTTTAAATTTATTTATAAAATTAAAATATGATTACATATTTTTTATTCACTAATTTAAACAAAACAAAAAAATGCAAAACAAACGAAGATTTGATTAGTATTTTATGTCAGTATGCATTTGGGTATCTGAATTTGATTTCAATATTTAATTTGATAATTAAGTTTTTTTTTCATTTAATTACATATTTTAACTTAACTTTAAGATTCAATTTTGCACTTAAACTTTTGTTAGGTCAAATCAAGTACCTGAATTTGACCTTTCGGTTTAATTTGATATCTAATTTTTTTTTTTGGTTCAAATAGATATCAACTTGGTTTCTTGATTCAAATCGATTAGAAGTCGTAAGTACTTATTTGAATGAAAAATAAAGTTAAGGTACCTAATTAAAAAAAATATTCATGTACTGAATTGAATTCTGAAATTAAACTTAGCTGCTTAATTCGATAAAAATAATAAATTGAAATACTAAATATATATTTACCAAGTATTTCAAACATCAATCAACATAAGTATGCTATAAATTCACCAATTCTTGTAATTATATGAAAATATTTACTTGTAGTAAGAAAAAATAAAAATATTTACTTGATTAGTATCTTTCACCATGTGTACTCAAAAGTTGTAATGTTTTTCACAAAAAGTGTTAATATTATTAATATCAACCATTTATTTATATTGTGTGATAAGATATTACCCCTGTATATAATTATTACCGTTAGGGGGTGTTTGGATGGGGGAATGTGGGATTCATATGGGAATGAAATCCACATTCCCCCGTTTGGTTAGCCCGAGAATCTCATTCTCGGTAATGTAAGATTACCAATAGTGGATTTTTTGAGGTATATTACCGGGAATGTCATTACCTCTCTTTCCTTAGGTATTGTTGGATTCCCGACGTTTTGGACTAAAATGCCCTTAATTTTTTTTAAATATAATTTTTCTGTCATTGAATAATAAAAATTATACGAAGGTTAAATTACAAATTTATCCTTAAACTATTTTAGATTTACAAAAAAAATCTATAATTAAAATTTTATATGAAGTTCAGGGGTTAAAATAAAATTTTACCCTTTCATTAAACCTTTTTATATTTTCAATTTTGTAAAAACATTATATAAATTTTATGAATTTATTTTTTTAAAGAAAATATATAAATATTTTCCAACTTGTTAAAAAACAAATATATAATAAGGACAATTTAGTCAAATATACATTCTAATAATCTTTTATTTATTTAACCAAACACGGTAATCTTACATTCATGCTAAGCCAACCAAACACAAAATACAACATTTCCAGTAATCTTATTCCCTGGTAATCTTACATTCCCACTGGTAATCTTATATTTCGTGAACCAACCGCACCCTTAGTATGAACCATGGTGTTTTTATTTTATGGTCTCCTTTTTCATGCCAAAATAGGCCCTAAAAATTTAAAAGAGAAGGAATTGTATACATTCAGACTTGCTGGACAAGAGACAACAACAATTTTTTAACCGTTGAGATTATTTGATTTCGTACCATTTTTGAATATATATATATATATATATAATTTATATTTAAAATTTATGATTATTCCTTTTTATAATATTATTTTGAAAATTCGAATAATTAAAATAAAATATATTTTCCCGTTACATTTAACACTTATTTAAAACTAACTTGTTGGTACTACTGTTAATTGTTTGTTCTCTGCTTTTTTTGGGGGGGGGGACTAACTTCATATTTAATAAAGTATCAGTCAATAAAAAATAATGTATCTTCTAAATGCATCGTGTTCTTTAAAAAAATCAGAAAAATGAAATTAAATCCTAATAAAATTTTAGAATGCCTATCATTTTATTTTAACAAAATGAAAAGAATAGATAAAAAAATATTTTACTGCATAAGATAAAAAAAATAGGGGAGAGAGAGAATTAATAATAGATGGGTAAATTACACAAACCATCAACTTTTTTATCACTTCTATTTTGGTCATTAAAGTTTAAAAATGTTCAATTTAATCATTGAACTTTCAAATTGTCATTCTTTTAGTCCCTATGTCATTTATTTATCTCATTTTTTTATTAATCTTTTAGACTGATCACCATGTCAACCATTGTTGTTAGCGGACATTAGACTCAAAATTTTCATATTAATTTATTTTCATCCCCTGAGCCTGAATTTGACCTCCGTTTCACCCAAATCCACATCAAGTAGATCCTAAACTATGAATATCAATTAAACCCTAAATCAAAATTTGAACCGCATAACCCATTATAATCATAAATCATGTTTTCATTCTCAGCCCTCTAGTGGTCAGATGGAGAATCTCAATGGTGAAAAGGTGAATGTTGATGAGAAGAATATTATATCTCAAAATTGAGATGATTTGACAATCAAATGTTGAGATCAACGAAAGAGAAGGTTGTAAATTTTTAGAGACTTTTTGAGGATTTTGAAGTTTCTATGAGAAATTAAAGTATTGGAAGAAAATATGAGTCAAACAACATTATTGTTGGTCGTAAGTGATGTCGAACAGTGGTAGTTCAACGAATTGAAGTTTTCAAACAATAGATTCATGGAACTTAAGGTATTTTATGTTTAAACAGACGCTGAATTAATTTTCAAACAATAGTGGTGGTGACCGATGGTGATGAGAATGACGGTAGACACTGCGGTTGAAATTCGAGTTTGGTTCAAGTTTAAGGAGATAAAGAGATAAGAAGAAGAAGAAGAAGAAGAAGAAGAAGAAGAAGAAGAAGAAGAAGAAGAAGAAGAAGAAGAAGAAGAAGAAGAAGAAGAAGAGGGAAAATAGCTTATTATAGGGATCTAAAATGACGTCGTTTTTGTCCAAATTTGAATATATATATATATATATATATATATATATATATATATAAAAGAGGTTAGGATCCACTTACAACCAGTGTAAAACTCTTAGTTTTACACTCTTTTAGGATCGTTGGATGATGAAAATTAAAGGCTGAAATGAATCTTTTTTCACTGAATATATTATCATTTCTTACTGTTAATCTTACCCTTTGATTTCTTTCATTTAATTGTCCTAAAAAGGTGTAAAACTCTTAATTTTACACAGAGTGTAATGAGAAAGAGGGGAGAGAGAGATGAAAGTATCAAAGATGAACCTTACTTTGTTAATATAAACAAAATATACGTACAACCATACATTGAAGCATATTACCATGACTTACTTTTCAATTCATTAAGTCTATTAAAATTTAATTGAACGGGTTGGAAAAATAGTCCCAGTAATTAGGGAGGTACATGGGTTAGGTCAGGTCGGATTTTCGGTCAACCCGACCCGAAAATTATATACTCTCCATCCGAATCCGACTCGACCTGAAAAATATACATCTTCTACCCGACCCGATCTTTTGAGATAAAATCCAAATTCGACCTAACCCGACTCGAAATAATATATTTATTAAAAAATTATTATTTTTATTCATTAAAAATAGATATTTAATTAAAAAAATAGTATATAGAGAGCCATTATTGTACTTATCCCTAAATATAACAGTAAAA